TCTGGAGAACGTGCAAGTTCATTTGCAACAGCAGTTGCTGGAGAGCACAGGAGGACAAGGTTGGCAGAAACAGTTTTGGGAAGACGACTGTCTTTCAGGAAGACGACTAGCTTTGAACCCCACAGAAGCACCACTCTAGTCCTGTTGTTGGCAATTTGGATCTGTTGCTTCATTTTGTTGCTGCTCCAAGCCCAACAGTGATTGTTGCTCCTTGGACGCCAACACACACAGCGCTGCTAACACAGTGCACTGTTGTCATCGTTCGTGTTGGGTCAAGTCCAGCTCGCCCGACTGACCGCTCGCCCCACGGCAAAACGAACCCAGTAAGGAACCCAACACACTCATCGAACCAAGCATCAAGAGCCACTGCGGTCCCCTGCCATTGTGCATGCTCCAGAGCGAGGGCGCCCAGACGCTGGCGTCAACCCAGCTGCAGTACTTAACCTCCCGGCATGCCCGTCGGGAACGGCCGCGCGACGATGTGACCCAGCGGGGCGAATTCGCGCCCCAGCGGCCGCGAACTGGCGCTCAGCACCGCGAACGCCTCGGAACCATTTAGCTCGCCGTCCGACCTCGGACCCCTTCGGTAATTACCGCCGTCGACTTAAGCGCCCTCAACCAACCAACAAGCCTCCAGCCCCCCCGTCCTTGCTCCCGGGAAGCACACCGGTGCCGCCAAGCTTGCGGCCGTCAGCAGGGCTGCCCAAGCCAAAGGTGAGGGTCCAGAGCACCGCTTGAACTTTCAATTTCTTGGGTGCTCAGGGCGGCTTTGTCTCATGGCGGCGTCGATGGCTCCGCGAATGTGTGACTGCGAAAGAGCCGGCGTTTGGGGGGGAGATATTCTTGCTGGCATCGGCGCAGGCGGAGCAAGGAGGGGAAGGGGGGGGGCGGGCATGTGTGCACAGGAATGTGCAGTGGAGGGGTGCGTGAAACGTCCACGTAATTATGTGTTGACCTGCGGATTCCGGACACCCTTACACGGGGTGTGCGTTGTGCGCTTCCACGATGGGTGGGTGTGGGTGGGGTGGGGGCTGGGGGGTTCAGGCGCATCCCGAGGGCGGAGATGTGGCTTGGATGATTTGTCCACGGCGGAGGGGGAGGTTGGGGGGCGCTGGACCGCTCGGCCGCACGGCGTGCCGTCGCTCGCATCGACATTCTTTGGGACGGCGGACGCGGCGCGGGGCACGGCGGAGGATCGTCAGGCCGAGGCGGCTGTTCGGGATGCCGAACTTTGCGGCGAAGGCGCGGCGCACGACTCCTACTTCCGGTCGAGGCGCGAACGCTGCGGCTCCGGGCGATCGCGCTGTGAATCCGCGCCCGACGAAATTTTTTCCGCGGCTGCGGCGAGAGTCCGCGATGTGTTCCGGCCAGCCGGTTTTGCGATGCGGCCCGTCAGGAGGGCGTTCCGGAGGATGGGGAATGGGGAGGGCGGTTGGCGTTGTTCGTGTTTCGTTGCTTGAGCCGCGGCACGGCACGCGGACGAGGAAGCCGAGCCGAGGGTGGGCGGGCGGCGCGGGTGGATCGGGAAGATTGATGGGCCGAACGGGTGAAACCTACCGTGCTTATATTCCAGGGTGGAACATAAGCACGGTAGGGAGTGTGGCGATGGGGATGTCGTGGTGTGGGATGTGGTGGTCGGTGGTGCGTCGGGCGCTATACTATGGGGTGGGCGGTCCATGAAGAAGCGGGTGTTCTGGTCGGCTCCCAATTCTTCCCGCTGTCTTTTTCCGTGAAGATCCCTTCTTGTTTTGGACACCCTAAACCCTAAGAACCACCGACCCAATGACCGGCGTTGGCCTTGTTAGCGGACGCCGAAGGACCTTCACGCAAAAGACAGAGGGACTAATATATTCTGGCTGTGATCGGGGTGGAATGGGCTCATGGATTACGGGTCCGTGAAGAAGTGGATGTTCTGGTTTCGGTGGGATATTTTTGTTTTTTGTTTTGGGGGCGGGTTGTGTTGTGGCCGTTCGTGCAGGCGCTGGCCCAGCCGGGTCTTGCGACCGTTTGGAGAAGTGGCGTTGTGGCGGAAATATGGCAGCCAGGTCGGAGCCAATAATGTGCTGGCCCCAGTGTGCGCTATTTTCCGTGGCGTCCAGTGCAAAAAGGGGTTTGGGCTTGGGTGGGCACACAGGCGCGACCTGGAGGCCGCCATGCCCGTTGGACCAGTGCAAAAAGGGGTTTGGGCTTGGGTGGGCGCACATGCGCGACCTGGAGGCCGCCATGCCCGTTGGACAATTGCATGCGGCCAGCTCGTCGGGCAGCAGGAGTTTCGCTGAGCGTGAAAATTGGCCCCTGGTGGTGCTTTTGTCATCGTCAGCGTCATCACGAGATTGTACTGGTGGAGGGATGTTTGTCACAGAACGCCGAATTCCGTCATCGTGTGGGACCGTTTGCACAATCTTGGCGTACGGGCCTTGAGCCACGCGCGTGCCACACCAGCGCAGCCAGCAATCCTAACCCGCCTTTATGCCGCCCTTCCCCCAGGCGCGTGCACCTGGCCGCGCGAGTCGGCCACCCGGGGCCGGTCCAGGCGAGGCAGCCGCGGCGCCATGGGCTACTTCGGTTTCGACCTGCGGCGAACCCACTCGGACGCCGAGGACGGCCTCCTGCCCCGCATCCCCGAAGCTTCCTCCGCAGAGATCAACGCATCCGATATCCCCGGCCAGCCTTCCGGCCAATCGGGCTCCCTGTGGCCGGAGGAGCGGACCGCATCGGGAGATGACTACCAATCGTTCGGCCGGCGATCGAGCAGGGGGCGATCGGGGATGCTGACGAGGATGCGGAGCCTGAGGGACAGCTTCAAGGCCGGGCTGAGAAAACTGGGGCCGCAGCGGCAGCCGGCGCGCGTGGCGCGCGCCAGCAGCCGCGTGAGGCAGATGGCGCGTAGCGCGTCCGCGCGGGCCAAGGAGCTGTCCGGCAGGCTGTCGGTGAGGATGTGGAGCTCGAGGAGGGGTTGGACGGGCATGGGGGCGGGCGGGGGAGGCGTGTGAGCCTGCGGGGCCGGGGGGGGGGGTGGGGGACTCGGGATTCGGGAGGCAGATTCGGGCTAGGAGGTTTTTGGGGGCGAAAGGGGACCCCGGAGTGGCGCCTATAGCAATTTCGGCCACTTATCGGTCATTTCATGCCAATTCGGCATCAAGTTCTTTTTCGAAATGTGTCGTTCTCGAGGTTGCCTAGCCAGGCAGCTGCATGATGGGTGCGCGACATAGCAGGCGCACGTGTGCATAGGGGAAGGAAACGCCGAGCGGCCTGTCCTTCTTTTGTTCTGCCTTCTTTTTCTTTTCTCTTTTTGGTCTATCTCTTGCTAAGCTTGGTGGAGATTTGCCTCCTATTCCGAACGATTTGGATATGCTCGCGCTCTTAGTGTGGAAGGCGAGCCTGTTTGGCGCGCCCGATGGTCATTTCAAACCTAGCTGTTTGCTGTTCCTCTTGGGGAAGGTTTTGGCACGTACCTATGTTGCACGTTTCGTTTCTGATTCGAGTGTGGATGTTGCTATTCTGGACGGGCGGAGGCGTTTATCTTGACCGGGCGGCGTGGTGAGTGGCCGCCCCTTGGGGGGCATCCCTTGCGTGGTCGGACGGCAGGTGCGACCTTGTTAGCTTGGGCAGGTGTCAGATTGATGGGTTTTACGGTGGTGCTGGACGGCTCGTTTTGAGAAGATTGTTACGTTATGGCATCCAGGTTGGTTGCAGTCAATGCCCGTCCCGAAAACAGGAATCGGCTCGAAAATCTCGAGGATTCTGAAATATTTATGGATTTTGAGAGCTTGGGGACAGGGTGCCTTAACATGCCGAAATCTGTGCCGGCGTACCCCGAACCCGAAACCTGGTCGCTACGGCGACGAAACTGTTGGCGGCTACCACCAGGTTGGCACTGGGCTTGGTGGTAAGTCGGGCGCAGTGCAGCTGTCTCTATGGGGCCTGCATTTTCTAAACACCATGGTGTTGCCAGTATATTCCAGAAGAACCCGGAATATGCTCCGTTGCGCTTCAATTACGGCCTGAAGGCGTCGCTGGAGGCTAGGTACTGCAAGATGAAGGGGGCCGAAGCTGTGCACACTGTAGTGGTGACGGACGCATGCCAGTTGGCCATCTTGTGCCAATTCCAAAGAGCTCTGGCAGCTCCTGTGCATCGGTTGCAGCGCCGCCCTCCAATCCCTCCCCAACCCCCCCTTTTTGCGTCGACATCCCTCTGGGACGCTCCACGCTGATGGAACACTGCTCCAGAGTCCCCACTTTCGGCCGAAACGACAGCATCTCAATCCCGTTGTTTCGACACACATTTTGCACCAAAAACCGCGTCAAAAGCCGGGCTGGAAACCGCGGAAGCAGCACCAAACAGTCCCACCCCCAGCCCCCGATCCGCCTGAAATAGGGCGCTCTTTCTTCTGCTCGGGAGACAGACTCCCCCCCCTCTCGTGCAGTTTACAGCGTCCAAGCCCTGCCCCGGACGGGCACCGCCGCTCTGGCGCCCCACAGCCCGTCAGGCCGCGAGCCCACTCTCGTTTACTAACCCCCCTCCCCGCTCCCCACCACTCCTCTTGACTACCACCCCGTCCGCCCTGCCCCCCGGCTCCCAAACATTACACCAAACACTAACCGCCGATGCCGGACAGTGCAGAGCTAAGTACTGGCCGCCGCCCGCTCCGCCTGGGCGGGTCCCGGTGCCGGCGTGACGTGGGCCGTGGGCGTTCCTTGGCCCGTGAATCGTCTCATGTGATATGCCCGGCCGGCCATCTACTGTGGACTTTGCGGGAGCGCCTGCAGAGAGCCGCACACGGTCGCGAGGCCCTGCCCCCGCCCCCCCGAGCGGCCTTTCGCCGTCGCCCTCCCCCGCGTCCCGCCCCCTGCCCGCCCTTCGATCGCCTGTTCTTCGAGCGGCGGCATCAGGCATGGCGGACCTTGCCGATCGCGAGGAGTGCGTGTTCTTGGCCAAGCTTGCCGAGCAGGCTGAGCGGTATGATGAGATGGTGGAGGAGGTGCGCAAGATTGCCAAGATGGTGCACGCGCAGGAGCTGAGCGTGGAGGAGCGCAACCTGCTGAGCGTGGCGTACAAGAACGTGATCGGCAGCCGGCGGGCCAGCTGGCGGATCGTGTCGAGCATAGAGCAGAAGGAGGAGAACAAGGGCAACGTGGAGCACGTGGAGCGCATCAAGAAGTACCGGACGCAGGTGGGGGGGTTGGGGGCCGGGGGCCCGGGGCTTGGGGAGGGAGGGGGGAAGGGCGGGGGCGGGGGGCGGGGAGGGGGGTTGACGTTGTGGGAGGTCCCTCCCTGCGTTTTGGGCAGCGCGGACGGTCATGGGCGGGTTGGCGAGATCTAGTGCGGCGGCAGTGGGGAGCGGATGCTGTGGGCTTTCGTGGGCGCCTGGCGGAGATCTGGCTGGCTGGGGAGGCTGGACAGGGCAAGGGGCGGCCCCGGCGCCCGGCGCGGCCGCCCTTGGCGCGACCGGCGCCGAAAAAAGCTCCCGTGGGACACTCAGTCCCGGGCGTGGATCTCTCGGCCGTCAGGCGCCCGCTTTTCACGACTCCCGCGCATTTCGGGCCCAGCCGATTTTCTACTGCTGGAGCCGCGGAACATTCCTTTGGCCGAGCCCGGATGCTGTGCTGCGGCTAACGCGGTCGGCCGCCACCGACCGTCGGCCAGCGATGGCAGCCGCGAGCGGCGGGGCATGCCACCGGCGGGATGTTCTCCCGGCCGCCGGCCGCCCCCGGTCGTCCCGGGGCGGGCCGGGCGGCAATTCGGGCGGCGGCGGATTCTCCCATCGCACCCCCGGAACGGATGACGGAGCCTGACGCCGGGACTCGGGCAGGCCCCGGTTGTGTGGGGGCCGCCCCTCGCGGCGCCAGGGGGGGTGGAATCCTCTGTCCAGGTCACAAGGCTCGCGTCGCGTTGAGATGCGGCAACTTTTGTTTTGCGCACCCCTTGCGCTACGGCCGTTTGCTGGCACCTTCTGGAATGTGCGCGGGTGGCGGGGTGGGGGTGGGGATGCATGGCCAGGGCCGTTTTGGGGCGGCCCCGTTGCTGAGGCGCCCGGGCCGTGGCTGCCTGCCGCAGATCGAGAAGGAGCTGCAGGACATCTGCAACAACATCCTGGGCCTTCTGGATGAGCACCTGATCCCCACCGCCTCCTCCGGCGAGTCCAAGGTCTTCTACCTCAAGATGAAGGGCGACTACCACCGCTACCTGGCGGAGTTCAAGGCCGGCGGGGACAAGAAGGACTCCGCCGACAACACGCTGGCGGCCTACAAGGAGGCGCAGGTCGGTGGCGCGGCGTCTGATGGGACTGGTGGCAAACAGTGCGGTCCCCTGGGCTGGTGTCGTGGGCGAGAGGGACTGGCGGGGACCTGTGGAAACGGCGGGTTGGCGCTGCCGCGCTGAGTGATGTTTGGTGGTCATGGGTGGATCTGTGGGGCCCTGCTTGAAGGAAGGCTCTTTGGCTGCTGCGTGGGTCTGTTGTGCCGGCAGGTGGTGGCAGCTTGTTGTGGAACGCGATGCTGGGTGTGCTCGCACCCGTGCTCCCCTTCTCAACATCGGACGTCAGAAATTGCCGGGAAACGACAGGGGCCACTGGAGTGGGCGAAGGCCCATCTACATGGCCTCTGCACCCCAGTCTGTCGGGAATCATGGATGGCACTGTTTGCCTTTCGTTTTGACGACTAGGAATCAGCACAGAGCACTTGTCATTCTGCCGATGGATCCACGTGTTTGCTGTGCATGTGTTTGTGATCAGACGTAGAGTGGAATGCCTGGGCACACGCATCATGAGCTTGCTAGCCAACCTTGATGCTCTGGGAAGATGGTATTCAGAATGGTCCTCAGGACTTTGTGATACGAGTGGGTGGGGTTCCTTGCAGGACATTGCCCTGGTGGACCTCGCCCCCACGCACCCGATACGCCTTGGCCTGGCCCTCAACTTCTCTGTCTTCTACTATGAGATCTTGAACTCCCCTGAGCGGGCCTGCCACCTGGCGAAGCAGGTATGAGGCCTTGGCTTCTAGCGGTATTCGTTTTTTTGGGTCTGTGATTAGTTTTGAACTGAATGTTCCTAAAGTGCTGGCTTCTTGTGCTGATGCGTTGATCTGGAATTGCTGCTGTTCTCCTTCAATTGCAGTTGTCATATTTGCCCTTAAGAACGCCCCCAGAGATTCTGCCTTTGCTTTTGCTTTTAAAATACCCCGACTCTTCATTCTGGATGCATCATGCTTGCTGCTGGCTGCATGCCACAGTTCCAACACTATCTTTGCATCTTTGACTTCCAAAAGGTGACGGGCAATCACCAGCAGTTGCAAGCTCATCTGCACTGCTGGCTTGTCACACTGAGCCTTTGTGTCATTGCATGGTTGTGTCGGCAGTTGGAGTGCTCCTAGTGTAAAGGCAGGTTGCAGGTGTTGCTAGCATAGTATACCAGAGATCAAGGGCTTTGACAGCCAAGGAATGTGCAGCGTTGCAAATTGCTATGCACGAGTGTGTGGCAGCGATGCTGACACCTACGAGTTTGGGCGGTGTGCTGGCATAGCCCTTTGGAACAGAATTCTGTGAAAATCCTGTAGGAAGTGTAATCGCACTCTGCTGACCCGCAGGCCTTTGATGAGGCCATCGCCGAGCTGGACACGCTGGGCGAGGAGTCGTACAAGGACAGCACACTGATCATGCAGTTGCTGCGAGACAACCTGACCCTTTGGACCTCTGACATGCAGGTAGTTGCTGCTTCTGTTCTCATTTGCTTTTGCTCTCCGGCTTTTGGTTTTTCTTGCCCTTGTGGTTTGTTGTCAATTCTTGCCGATCGCCTGTGTTCTAACTGCACCCGTCGTTGGCAATATGCTGTGTTGTTTGTGTTCAGCAACAATTTTGCTTTTGGCTGAAATTGCTTGCTGGTGGGGACACCCATATTTGCATGGGTGCCAAAGTATGCTTGGCAGCCAGTACACACCTTTGCATGCTTGTGCAGCTGGCGGCTTTGTTGTTGGCATGTCTATTTAGATCCCTGCCTAGCAGGGTGCGCTTGAATGATAGTCGCCAGTTCTGTGTCACACTTCAACGATCGCTTTGACTTCATCTCGCCTTGGGGGCATTCGGTGCCATCGAGCCATTCAGTTGTCATCATCCAATGTGACAACACGATCTGCTGTTGTGACCAAGTGATGAGCTGCTGTTCATTTTGGACTGGCGCTGGTGCTCTGCGATCAAATGGCATTTTTCTTGTGTCGTATGTGGGCACAGTAAGCCGATGCTTGGCTGCCTAATGTGCAAAGAAGCTGGTCCCTTGCAACATACGTGCTTCTTGCGATTGTCGGTTGTACAATTGGCATTTTTGGCACCGCAGGACCAGGAAGAGTCGGGCAAGGGCGGCGACAAGCAAGAGGATGATGGCGCCGGGGCTGTATGATGTCCATCAGAGCCTTGTAGACGCTTGCCTGCTGTGAATTTCTGGACAAAACAGGATCGAGGGAAGCCGCTGTGACTGGCCTGGGGTGCTTCTGTTGTCTGCCCATTCGTGCTGATCGAAATTTCAACTTCAGTATTGAGTGGTCCTGTCATTCTTTACGTCTCCATGGTGCTGGAGGTCAGTTGCCTGTGCTGGTTGATGGGCCGTCGCGCCAGCTGTGCGACACTGCGAGTGCCGCACCCACCCTGTGGCCGTGCTGTGGTAGATGTAAGCTGTGCCTTGGGGCCTGGGAACCTTGGGCACGTGACAGGGCGAATTTGTAAACGGGGTCTCGGCAGTTTGAAGAGACCTTCCACAGAAACGGATCTTGAGGCGACCTTTCATGACAGGTGTGCTTGTGCTGTCCGCTGCCATAGGGGGGTCGATGTGAGTGATTGGTCGCATTGGCGATCGGATGGCAGTGTCGATCAAGGCGGACACTGCCGTGTCCACTCGTGTGTCTTTGTCTGATCGTCTTGGGGCTGGCGACTGGGGGCAGTGCTGTTGCTGGAACGGTTGTCGCCGTCCTTGCCGCAGCTTGTCACATTTGTAATCAGCAGCAGCTGATTTCGTCTTGTCCATCCTGACCTTGAAAATGCACCAGTCTGGCGTGCAAGGCGTAGGGATTCCTGGCCACCCAGGGCAGTCGTGCTGTCCCAACGGTGAAACGACGGAGAACAGCGGAGGGTGTAGATGATTGAAGCCCCGCTTAACTTGCCTTCGTTGGACGTTTGGCGAAGCTCATCAGTCTCGTCTCAGGAGATGCGGTACAGCTCCTTGGCGGCTCCATGCACAGGCGATGGAGAGAGGCGGTGTTCTTTGCACAAATGTCTGATACCCGTCGTTTACTGCTACAAAGGTCGATTTCGGGCTTTGGGGATCGGTTTCAGTTTTTCTTTTAGGTTCAGTAGCCTTCATTGCTCGTCCACGACCTTGTATTTTGGGGATTTTGTTTCAGTTTTTCTTTTAGGTTCATAGGGCACCCGTACCCTTCATTGCTCGTCCACGCCCTTCATACTTGGAAGTTATTGGTACCGGACAAAACTCGATCTTCGCACAATGTGCTGGAGCGCTGTTCTCTGTGTGCCAGGTGCCCTTGGCGACCTGAGGGTGCCTTCAGCTGGGGGAGCAGAATCGAGGGTGCCGAGCAGGAGGCCTTGCATGGATATGTGCTCTGACAGCATGCAAGGGGAAAGAAAACTGCACGGTTCGCCCTTTCGAAGCAATCGGCAGCCTGGCCACCGCTCACGAAATCAACCTCGGCTTTCATCCCTTCACGTTGTCAATCGTTGAGGCCTCGACCCAGAGCTCGTCAGTGTGGAGTGGCTCAGCGCAGAGCTGCGCATGGCCGCGGTCGTCGCGTGCAGGAGGGTTTTCGCTTGGCGGCAATGGCGCCATCAACATGCCACCCCTGACCGCCGTCACCGTCCTGGCGGCAAACACGCAGCATTTCGACAGATTCTGTCGTTATCTTTATGCATCCTGTTTTCAACTTTCCAGACTTCCAACGCCCAAAGTTACTAAGTTCCTGACACTCCAAAATTTCGTAAAGTAAGCTGCAAGAGTTCCTGCAAGTTCCCAAGTTTTCCCAAGCTTCTCAGAGTTCCAAATTCACAAGAACGCGCTCCCAAAATGAGACCTGGCCACTTTTCGCAGCGGCCCGGCGAAATGACCCTTCCCCGTCGCCCACAACCGGCCGGCAAAGCGCCCACATCGGCCGCTCACCATGCTGACTCCGTCCTCGCCGATCCACAGCGGCCGGACAAGTGTACTGATCCGCCCACAAGAAGCCGCCTAATCGGCACTGTGCCCCCGGGCGTCGGACAACCTGCTTCCCCGCACAGGTGCCCTCTCTGGGCTGACTCTCAGAGCAGGGGCTCCGGCGGCATGGGCGGCGCTGGCCAGGGGCAGTGCCCCTCCCCTGGTGCTCCCGGCTTCCGAGGTGCGATCAAACACGCAAAGCAAGGCGTGCGATCAAGCTCGCGCATCTTCCCGTTGGAACCCCCGTGTGCGTGGCTTGGATCTGACGGGTGGTTGGGGTGGACGTGGGGCTGGTGGCAGATTACCGCCACAGCGTGGCGCTGAAGAACGTGAAGCTGGGCTACACGCTGCTGTGCCGCCACGCCCTCACGCTGCTGCTGGTGCCCGTCGCCGCCTTCCTGTCGGTGAGCCGGCCACACCGCCGATCGGCGACCGAGTCCCGACGGGATCGCTCCTTTCGCTCTCTGGGTTGACATCCATCACGTTGGCCTGGCGGGATGATCGCGTGCGGATGGCGCCGGCCCGACGTGTTGCTTCGGCTGCGATGCGCGGCCCATGGCGAAACGGCAAACGGCGCCGATTGGCGACCGTCGCGGGCGCCGAATCTTGTGCGATCGCCTTTCCTTTCGCCACACTTGGCCGTGGTCTTGACTCTTGTTTTGGGTCTGATCGCAGCTGGAGCTGCTGGAGATCCATGGCAAGGGGGACCTGCACCGGTTCTGGAGTGCCGCGTCGCAGACCGATCTCCAGTTCAACCTGGTGAGCCCGCTTTGGCGGATGTGCGCGCCGGGCATGCCCGCTGAACTCAGTCGCGCCAAGTCGCGTCCTGCGCACATCGGAGCCTCTAAACTCCGTGTGTTGCGTTTGCCTTCGGAGACAAAGCCGAGGAGCTGTGCCGCGCTGAAGTCGTTCTCTTAGAATCGCCTTCCAAAGGGCCGTGGCGCCCGTTGCACCTTGCAGGCAATGACGGACGTGCATGCAACCAAGAAAGCTTTTCTCTCTCTGATCCATTCAAATTTTCCACTCGCCACCCGCACGTTTCGCTTGCACCTCGCTGGCTACGACGGGTGTACACGCACCCGAAGCGTTTGTCTGTCCCCGTTGATTCACTCGTTCCATCAGAACTGCAGTGCGTCCAATCTTGTGTGAGATGTGCTGCGTTCTGTGAGCTCCACGACTTGAGAGCGATTGAGGATGCCGATTGCGTGTTGATGAGTGCACCGCGCTGTTGCACAACAAAGGAACACAGGCGCCGCGGCCGGGGCCCAGGGAACACAGGACATGACTTCAGCCGTGTCCGTTGATGTGTGACTTATGTGACATATTTATGGGGTGATCCGTGATTTGTTGTGATTTATTTGTGATTCGCAATTTATGGGACTGTGTGTGGCATGTTGTGTGGGTTCTGTTGCATCGATTGTTGGAAGTGTTCATGTTGTTGTTGGCAGTGGACCATGGGACCATTGAGACAACTGCACAATAGAGAATCAGTCAGCCGCAACGCGATGGTCGAATCGACGCTGGGTTGCGTCAACTCCTTGGTAGCAGTACATTAACGCTGCAGTGTTTTGGTGCTGAGGGCATCAGTTTGGTGTTGGACTGCACTGTCTACAAAATGATCAGTCTCAGCACGAAATACTGCAAGCCCTCAAACGACACTGCTCCCAATAATCCGAGCTGAATGTCTCCATCCTCTCCCAATGAAGCAGGTCAGAATGGAGGAGAAGCAAGTTCGTTTCTAACAGGCTCTGCAGTTAGTCAACCAAGATCTGACACCCTTTTTTTCTGCACCACTTTCACATCAACAAGGCACGTCCATTAATGGGCACCCCTGGGCAAAACCTTTTGCAAGAGGCTGTGTTCAATGCAGCGGACTCCAACTGGCAATGAAGTGTAAATTCAGTACCCGTCTGTTGTTTACTGTTTCAATGCACAAGAAAACGCAACACAGGCGATGTCAGGCATATGGCAGCACATAGAACCATCTGATTATGATATCTGCCGGTGCTAAATCCCAATGCCAATACACAGATGACATCCACATATTGACTTTCAAATTTTGGAGAAACAGGGCAAGCGATGGGCACCGTCCTCCTAGGCGAGTGTGTTGAGTGGCGTTCTCGTCCAACAGCATCCGATACTGTTGATGTTGCTCAAATCTAAAAATGTAACAGGAATCAGAGGAGGACAGAAGGTCAGGAGTAACCTACAGCAGTGAGTTCATGCTGCTGAACGCTGGTTTTCTAGATGAGAAGGGAAATTTGGGAACTCTAAGCACCACCCTTACTGTCAAGAAATGCCTCATAGCCGTTGGTTGCAGATGCCAAGAGCCATGGCAGACAAATCCTTGCTCTTTACAGGGGGTCATGTGCATCCAGAACGTGCAGCTTTTCCCTTACTGGGATGCATAACACAGAAGCCTCTGAAGTCATATGTGGGACCAAAATACGTCTGATGTCCACCACAGGTGACCTTTGCAGGTTGCTCCCTACTCCTGGTGCTGGTGGCAGTTAGCTATGTGCTTCTGCAGAGCAGACCTGTGTACCTTATGGATTTTGCACTCCACAAGCCTCCTGACAGGTGTGGCATTTATCTTCTTTCAACAGAAACCTTGGCAGGAAAAATGCCTAGTGCTTCTGAATTTGTGCCATTGGTGTGTGAATTGTTTTGTTCACTGTCATTTTCTTACCCATTGAACTGCCATATAACTATCCGAGTTCAGCAGCAACATATGAAAATTTGCCAGAGCATCGTTTTCGGCTCGCCTGTGCAAGGACAACGTCAAACAAGTCATTATTCTGGAACTTGCTTCCTGAATGTAACTCTTGTGACTGTGCACATATACTGTTGTGTACTCTTGTGTACCGATATTATACAGATAGTACATACATATACATACATATACTATTGTCTACTGTATATATACTGTTGTGACTGACTGTTATGGCTGTTGTGTAACTGTTGGTTGGGTTCTGTGATGACACCAAGTGTTGTGCTCTGCACTGCAGTCTGAAGGTCACCCACCAGTTCTGTGTGGAAGGGTCCAAATCTTGTGGGGTAAGCATTCACAATGATTGCAATTGCGAACCAAGGACAGTTTGCCGCACTGTCACATTGTGGCCCTGTCAAAGGGGGGCCAAGTTCGTGCGTGTCAAGTTGATGAAGATGCAGTTCTGTTGTCTGCATGTCAGCCTCCGAGGGCGATGCCGCCACCAAACAGCGCAAGAATAGTATGTCCATTGTTTGTCCCAGTGTCCGTCTTACTCATGTGCCAACTATCCACTTCTGCATTGAGGCGTACAAATCATCTAGATGCTTGTGTCGAGGTGTTACAAGCAATGCATTCAATGTACAAGCTCCTTAGCAGCAGGGCCATTGCGCGCATCGCGTCAGACCACTGGCAAAGGGAACAGTGCTGGTCTGTGGAATCCGTCACATTCTCTGATAAGGAAGTGCATCCTGTCCTTGTCAACCTGATGAAAGCGAATGAGTGCTGATGTGTGCTCAGCACAGATTCAAACACAATCGGCAAAAGAACGGCTGGTTGTGCTTGGGACGACCATCAGAACAACATTTGAGCTGTGTTTGTTTGTTGGCTGGCAGCAAAAGTGACAAATAGCAGCACAAGAAACAAATGGCAGCACAAGTGAGGTGCAGGCCATCAGTACCCTGAGTGGGGCCATCAGTGCCTGAAACAGCCAAAGCAGCGAACTTCCGTGCCCACAGAGCTGCAGGGGACAAACTTATTTCACCGCACCTCCCCAACTGTTCTATCTTTTGTCTTGCTTGTGTTGCTCCCAGGCATTCACTGAGCAGAGCCTGGAATTTCAAGAGAAGATCCTCAGAAAGTCTGGCCTTGGCGATGAGACATACCTGCCTCCAGGTTGGGACCTAAAATCCTGCCTCATGCTACTTGGCTGCGTGATGGACCCACCTGAGAATACAGGATACATCAGGCTGGAGGAACTCTCGTCCATTGTTTTCATATCATTCCAAACAAACTTGCGTTTTGCTTTTCCAGTAGTGAGCAAGACTCCGTCCATGTGGATTCATCTTTCTTGCATTATCCAGAACAATACCTTGGGAAGCCCTGTCACAAAACCAACGATAACCTGGCAGTCAGCACAACTGAAGACGTGTCCCTTACTTGGGGTTTGTTTCCTACATTCTGTGTAGCCCAATAACTTCCCGGATTGTCTTGGAAAAATCAAAAGAATGGCAACTAATCTGTAGAGGCCCTCTTATGGGTGAGATAGCTGGTAAAGACAAACATCGAGCAAGACACCAAGTCTCAACTGTTGAGTGATTTGAATGCCAAACCGAAGCGCCGCCAATTGCGCTGACCCCAGTGATCATCATACCCAATCATCATGAGAATTTTGGTTGCTGTGCACAGCGATCATATCCAGGCCCACCAACATATGCATGCAGTCTGCAAGGGAGGAGGCGATGGATGTGATGTTCACCACCATCGACGACTTGTTGAAGCGGACAGGTGTGCATGTCCCTTCCCTTCGAGTGCAGTCTTCTGTTCTGTTCTGCTTGGAAGCAGCCATTTTTGGATAGAAGGAAAGGGCACGAGAGGGCGGGGCAGCAACGAAGAGATTGATCAATTTGTGTGCACAGTTGGCCAGTCTCTAGGAATGCGAATGCTTTCTCTTCCTGTATTAATCTGCTTGCATTCCAATCGTCAGAATTGGTCACGAAAGGCTGTGGTTGCACTTTGATCGCATCCAGTTTTGGTAAATCGATGTGAGGCTTCAAATGATTTGTTTCCTTCGCTCTGCTCATCTCCGTATCCTATTTCCTCTGTGCTTCAGTCTGCACCGTGCTTGTACCTGTCTGGCCGCCGCATTGTTGGTCCTTGTTCTGCCGAAGCCATGCGTCAGCGACTCAACAGCGCGCAAGACTCCGATGTTGCCAGGCAGAAGGACAGGCTGAAACGACAGCCTGTTGTACATTGCTGCAAACCCCATGAACTTGTTCAGATATTGTTCTCTGTACATGTCCTGTATGTGCATGGCTTGCAGCAGCTCAATTCGAAAAGGGGCATTCAATCAGGTGAGAAAGGCAGCAGAAAAAATGCAAGATGCCAAGCAGCAGCTCGGAAACAAGACTCATGCAGGCGTACTTCGCTTGGAAGCCTAATTGGGCGCCATTTAAACTGGGCGCACATCCACACAATTGTCGAAACTTATTCCAAGCATTTTCTTGGCAGCCCGAAGAAGGAATTGGGCGCGGGTGCACATATGGAGCTCCCCACATGTGATGTTCATAAACTCCCTTCTCGAATCCCAAAATCAAATCTCGTTGCCCACCAATGCCTTTCGCCGCGCTCTGTGGCAGGCGTCAAGCCCAGGGACATCGACGTGCTGGTCGTGAACTGCTCCCTCTTCAACCCGACCCCCTCCCTGTCGGCCATGATCGTCAACCGCTTCAAGATGCGCTCGAACGTCATCTCCTACAACCTGGCAGGCATGGGCTGCTCGGCGGGTCTCATTGCCATCGACCTGGCGCGCCAGGTGCTCCAAGTCACGCCCTCGTCACGGGCCCTCGTCTTCTCCACCGAGAACATCACACAAAACTGGTGGGTATAAATGGTGTTCTATTTGAACCATTTTTAGAACTGGTGATGTTTTGTTGTGTAATTGGCTTTCTTTTCTGTAGTTGTGTGTACAACTACGTTAGGCATGTGTACCTTTGGTATGTCTCATCTTCTTTAATTATAGTTTTACTCGAACTTTATGTGCTTCGCGGATTCTCGTGGTGATACGCGCCAGTGATGGGAGTGAATGGAACCGTTGGATGGAAATAGTCGTTGGTGTGGTGGAACTCTTGATGCACAGCGCGACCAGTCTTGCTCCTTGAGGCACGGAACTCGCACCGCACATCCGTCATCGTCACCAAGTTGCGTGATATACCGTGACATGCAATTTCTCATTTTGCACTATCCATTGGATAGTGAGCGTCGAACGCAGGCATGGCGAATCCCTTGCACCTTGCAGGCGGTGAAAGCCAAAGACAAACCCAGCCAAGGTACTTTGTCCATCGTCTTCAGGTCACAATTCCATACATGAACATGCAGGGACACAGCTGCGTCGCCCAGTGACAGTCGCGATCCAAAGGATTCCGTTTCCACGCCACGGAATACGGCATCCCAAGTTGGCCATTTCCGCGTCGCGGCAAGGCAAAAGCGATGGATAGGTGCACAGTTAAGTGAAGCCAATTCATGTCCATTGCCAGGTACTTCGGCAACGAGCGGTCGATGCTGATCCCCAACTGCCTCTTCCGCGTGGGCGGCGCCGCTGTGCTCCTTTCCAACCGCCGTCGCGACTATTGGTCGTCTCGCTACGAGCTGAAGCACGTGGTGCGCACGCATTTGGGCGCCAACGATGCCGCTTACGGGTGCGTGTACCAGATGGAGGACAAGGACAAGCAGCTGGGGGTGCGGCTGTCGAAGGAGCTCATGGCTGTGGCGGGAGAGGCGCTCAAAGTGGGGTTTGCTGCCGATTTTCTTCCTCTTGTTCTTCTTCTTCGGTTGCTTTTGGTGTTGCGCTGTTTGTCGTTTGCGTCCGTTGTTTTGTGGCAATACTTCAGGGCGTGGGCTGTAATTTCTGCGTCAGATCGCACCTGACATTGTGAGATGTTTTATCTTTGATTGTCATGAAGCTTCGGTATGCTGCCCTCCTCTTCATTCATCTTTACTGTTTACCCCTTCGGTTTTGTACTTGTCTATTCCAATGTTCATTTTCCATTTGTCATCCTCTGTTTTGCATGTGGCGCAGTGCAATTAATCTATCAGTGAAACAATTCGTCTGCCATTGTCTGTATGCGTTGTATTCCTAAAGTGCATGTCCTGTTGACATAACGTAATACTTCAGTTGAAAGTGTGCCAGGAGCTGTGAAGTGCTGTCCTAATTGGCGCAACGTTTTGAGGGTCCAGGTGCCCCAACCTCGGCAAATCAGGTGTAAGTTCTTTGTTTGCTTCCCAGCGGCGCACAAGCAGAGGAATCATTGCCTAGTGACGAAATCCTGAGCGAGTACTGTATTTTTGGTGGCAGTAGTTGCTGGTATTGATCAAATCCACGCAATTCGTCATTGCTCGCAAATTTTGCTAATTGTTTTCAATACATGCAATTGAAACAATGCCGGCGCATTTATGTAACAACAGAACTAATTGATTGTTGTATGGTTTCAACAACTTTTGTGATATATGTGCATGCTTAGTTCAATGTTAAATGACTGTGCCGCCATTCCATAAACTGAAAGAAAGTTGTAATATTCACCAGTAGTGCTTCGTAAATAAAATATGCATTAATGCAAACAAAGTTTCAAATGGTATTCACTCCATTTATTTGTGCATCAATACCTTTTCATCCTAAATGTCCCCTTCTGCCTGCCCCCGTCAGGCCAACATCACGACCCTGGGGCCCCTGGTCCTGCCCGTCTCGGAGCAGATCCTCTTCATCGTCAACTTCATCGCGCGCAAGGTCCTCAAGTACAAGGTCAAGCCCTACATCCCCGACTTCAAGCTGGCCTTCCAGCACTTCTGCATCCACACGGGCGGGCGGGGTGTGCTGGACGAGATGGAGCGCCAGCTGCTGCTCACGGGCAGCCTCATGAAGCCCAGCAGGGACACGCTGGAGCGGTACGGCAACACGTCCAGCTCATCGATCTGGTACGTGCTGGGGAACATAGAGCACGTCTACGGCGTGGCGAGGGGGGACAGGGTTTGGCAGATCGCCTTTGGGAGCGGCTTCAAGTGCAACAGCGCTGTGTGGGTGGCAACGAGGAGCACGAAGCGGGCACATGCTGCGTGGACATGATGGGGGTAGTGGGTTGAGGAAGGCTGTTCGGTGGGGGTTGCGAATGTGTTGAGATTGAGGCGATGGTTGGTGGCCGTGGATGATCTGCCAAAGGGCGGATTCTTTATGACTGGGCCTGGTGCAGTGTGACGACGTCGATGATGTTCTGGATGGGCTGAGGGGTTTAGGGGAGGGATTGGATGGAAGAGAGCAAATGCAATAGAGGAGAACACGGGAGACTACAGGCCAGAGAGTTGTCCTGAATCGTGATACAAGAGGCGGAAACCAAGCCATGCATTGTGTAATCGGAGGCAGAAAAGAGTATTTGAGGCGCTGTGGCTGGATGGAAGACACATGTCTCCACATGCAAGGGAACGAATGCACGGCAATCAACAATCCTGTACATGACGAACAGAGCTATGAGTGTGTTGTTTGGCTTGACACTGAATGTGTTAAGAGGTGGTGGGTGGGTGCTGCTCAAGGGGGAACCGTGATTCGTCACTGAAGCGGTTCACAGTGAACGAAGGTACCAAAATGCGGGGCGGTGCAGGGTCTGAGAAATTGTCCCGCCTCTGGGTGCTGCACATCCTCACTGGGGCTGCCGAAGGGACGTGAGAATTGTCCTTACGCCAGGAACTCCAGAGTTGAGCGTTCGCAAATTGTCACTGGGATGTGCATCTTGGGATTGTGGCTGGGGTGACCCTGGAGGCGATGCGATGCTATGGGTGACTGTGGTGACTGGCGGCAGGCAGCGGGGATGGGAGGGTGCTGTCGCCCTCCCTCTCATGATGCCAGGCGCTTGCAGTTGGGTCTTCGAACCAAAGCTAACATGAGAGTCTTGAGTTAGATCGACGAGAAGTTAGTGTGGCGACTTACTTCAAACATGACTGGCGAACACTTGGGCACGTTTTCACTCTTCTTTCAGCTAGGTTGTTGAACGTGGCTCTTGCCAAATGGGTTGAGGAAGCGCTGTGATCCTTTGATAGATATGTGCGTGGGCTGATTGACAGATCGTGTGTCGAGCTTTCAAATACCGTGCTTGTTCCTGTGCATCCAAGGCCTTCGCGCTGCCGGACTTTTCTTCCCTGGATTGTCGAACGCAATCGTGGCAGATGTCGCTTCCAAGGAAGGGAGGGTATCGTGCCTGGACTTGGCGAGGCACAGCGGCTGCCTGCACCAACCCCAGGATGTTGATGTGTTTCTGTGGTTGATTAGCCACCAAGGACGTCACGTCATATAATGTCGTGACACATATATGAGCCACACCACCGAACCCTCATGTGAAGATTGTCAGGTGGGGCGCTGCATTGTTTGGGTTCCGCGGCCTCAGAAACCCCCACGTGGCGGAGGTTCTTAAACCTTCAGCCATTAGGCTGGCAGTGCTGCCCTCTACTGGGAAAGTGCAGGCTGAATTGAGGAGAATAGAGGACAGAAAGTTGGAAGAATGGCTATTTATTTCCATGAAACTGGAATTCCACCATGCTATTCTAGTATTGACCTGCAATTCGCCATCCTAATTAAGGGCCAATTCAGGTAAAACAGTTGCCGTTTCCATGGCAACGGCGCCATCGCTCGTGGCAGTCCCCAGGGCGCCAAATCCGAATTTCCAGCTCCTGCCGCCGCAACGCGAACACAAAGCAAGTCGACTTAAAAACCAGCCAGTGAAGATTTGATTAAATTGAGAACGGAGAAAAGAAAAAGAAAAGAAAAGAAGAAGAAAAGAAAAGAAAAGAAACGAAAAGAAAAGAAAAGAAAAGGAAAACAACTCAGTGTGCCATCGAAGGGGCAAAGGGCGCGGTCGCCCGCGCCAGTCCCCCACAGGCACCCAGCCGCGGCGTGGTCCGCCTGCTTCCGCGCTGGGCGTCCTTGAGACCCCTCACGGCCGCGTGGTCCAGCGCCAATCGCGCCGAGACCACGGCGATGGGAGCCAACTACAGGCTGTCGGGGCCCCTGCCGCGCCGCGTGGCCCTCCCCCGGCGCGCCAAGGGCACCGACGCCATGCCGCTGCATCCCGTGGCAGATGATCGGCCGCCGGACCCGTCCAAGGGGATGATTCGAGCGACGCGCAGCGGGCGGATGGGCGTGCCGCCTGTGGCCTTCTGGAAGAACGAGTGGGTGGTGCGGGATGCGAATGGGTCGGCCAAGGCCATCGCGAGATCGGGGATGCCATCTGGGCCGCCGGTGGGGTTCGAGGGGCTGACGGGGAAGCAGGGAGGGAGGGAGGAGAGAGGGGGGGGCAATGGAGTGGAGGGGAAGAAGAGGAAGAGGGGGGAGCGGGCATCCGTGGGCAGTGGCGGGAAAACCATTTTCGACAAAGGGAAAGATGTCAGGATAGGGAGTGGGGAGTGTAAGATTTGCGATAAAGAGAAGGAGAAAAGGTCCGTACAAGGGAGCGGTGGGGGTAAGATTCGTTGCAAAGGGAAAAGGAAAGGAAAGCAGCTCATGCGATCGAATGGCGGAGGTAAAACTTGTGACAAGGAGAAAGATGAAGATGTCGTGCAAGGGAGTGACCAGGAGACGAAGAGTGGGGGCGGTGCAGGTGGGAAGGGTACGCCAGAAGCGCGGAGGGAGATGGCCAAGTTGAAGGGGAATGATGGCGGGGAACGGGGGAAGGGAGGGATTGTGGTGAAGGAGGAATTTGCAGTGGCGGGGACAGCCGGGAAGGCCGCAAAGAAGAGGAGAGAGGCTGGGGGCAGCGGGGGGGCAGTGGGCGACGGGCTGGCGCGCAGGCCGCGGCGCCTCTGCGCACTGCTGTGCGCACAGCGGCTAAAGGGGAACAGCGAGCTGGTGGGGCAAGTGGACATCTTCGCAGAGCCGGACGTGAAGATAGTGAGGGAGGTGCTGAACATGTGCGGCGAGGGCATGGGGGATCGACGGGTGGTGGTGGTGAAGCGGGAGCCTGGGGAGGATGGCGCGGACAAGGGAGGGGATGGCAGGAAGGAGGGCGCAAGGCGGTGGCGAGGGTTCAGGAGCTCAAAGGCTGGGGAGGTGAGTGGTTGTGTGTGCGTGTGACGATACATGTATTTTTTGGAAAACCCAAAACACAGCTCGTACTCTGGAGCAAACGCTCATAAGCAAGCATCCAGCAGGCCCTGTTCCGCTTGCAGCTCTGTAGGTGCCACCATCAACAAGAATGAGATCGAAGGCACGAGTGTGTGTGGGTGCGGGGAGGGGCACGGGGATGCTTGTGGCACAGGCATGAATGTCCAAGTTGTGTCAAGACTCCGGTCACGGGTGTGAGAGCTGTCTTGCAGAAGGAACTGATGCCCAAGAAATTGTCATTGCCAAGGGAATGCACATCGGTGTGGAGGGTGTGTTACAACAAGTAAATGAATGTATGCAAAACTTGCAAACGCACAGTGGCATGCATATCTGCCAAGTTCAGATATTGAGACGATATTGATCGGTTGTTCTGGGTGTTTATGAGGAAACTTTTGAAAGCTTGCCAGGAAGGATGGCGACAGGAAGAAAGCATAGCATGCCAAAGGAACCTAAATGAATGAAAACTTGGGGGCCTTCCTTTCCATGCCATGGAACATTTGGTGCAAGAGAGCTGGCAGGCAACACATAGTGGCATGTACAGTGCTCAAGGGGACAAAAGAGTACTGCTTTGGAAAGACTGCCTCCCAAAGGCTTTGACAGTTCCTCTACTGACAATGGAAAAGCTGCATCTATTACTATTTTGCTGTTCCATCAGCTGAACTGTTCCTGCCTGTATTTCTTTGAGTTGTCTGTCTTTGTCTCAACTATGTATCCCATCTTCATGCAGATGCATGTGTTTGTGATTTGGTTTACCAATTGTTTCGCTTTCGGCCATGCAGCTTTCCTGTAGACTTGTTGATTTGGTACTGGCAAGTTGCCACCTGGGCGCCCTCCTGTATACTAGTTATGGAGCACAACCCACTGGTTGCTTCTGCTGCTCACACTGGGTGCAAAAGTGCACAACATCAAGGCTCGCCACAAAATGCTGAAACTCAAGCAGCTTTTTTTGAAAGTGTACAGAAAGTCTGCTTGTCATGGATTACACTGAGGAAAAAAGGAATTGGCTGCAAGCTTGCAACCTTCTGCAAAAGGGGCGATTTTGATTGTGTGCTATACTAAGGAGGGAAAATTGCAAATGCACCTCCACCAATTTTTGTAAATGCCTCCTTCCTTCCGTGAGATGCATACCTTCAATTCCTCTTTCACAGCTCGTGAGCGTTTAATTTGGGCCCTTGACAAGTACACCTTGATTCTACACCGCCTCAAGTGCAAAGGGTGCTGCCTTGTACAGGTTCACTCTCTGCTGGACCCCTGTGCAGTCACTAAACGCCTGGACCCATACAACCTCGTTGCTTCAGATGCGGAAGGCCAACAGAGCGAGCAAACCAACGACTCCACTTCCTTGCCACATGAGCCACCTGTCTCTTCCCCTCTTGACTTGGAGCAACCAGCCAAAGAAAACAGCCGCGAAGCTTTCAATCAGCCGCCCAAGCAGAAGCCGAATGTCATCAGTGCGGCCTGCAACGGTGGCATCAACCCCAATGACAGCGACAACGATGGCTCAGTGCCTGCTGAACCTCTACGGAGTTGCACCACTGGTCTGGATGCTGGGAAGGGCATCACGGTTCGACTGCGGCGCATGCTGGCACAGGAGTCGCTTCCTCAACAGAAAGGCACAGTAGACGATTCTGTGCAGCGCTTGGACGATTCTCAAGACCAACACACATCTAAAGGTAGTACTATGCTTCCCACACACATGTGTACTGTTAAATTCCCCATTCTGCAAGTTTGAACAATCTGTGGAGCAAAATGTGCCTCTTTCTTGCAGCGGGCATTAGAAGCCAAGAGTAATGCATGCTGCATAAAGTTGGCAGTGCTGATCTGGGCGGAGTGGCGGTAGCACTCACAAAGGTGAAAGTGCCAAGTGTGGACCAAGAAAATTGAATGGTAAAGGCACACTTGTCAAGCCATCATCGTCATGGCAAGTTTCAAACAGCCCCACCTGTGCCAATTTTCTCTTCCCAGCCATGCCTGAACTTGGTACAAACAATAATAATAGAACATCACATTGTGTTTTTGCAGGGTTAGCAACCAAAAGGCAACGAAAGTGCACTGCGCCATCATCGCACGTCCTGGCTGATGGCAACACTGAAGCTGGCGCCAGAAGCCCGCCCACTGCAGCAACTCCAGTAGCCCCTGATGCCGAGCTGCCTTTGGTGCTGCCTTCAGCAGGCGAGCACCCATCACATGCACAGCATCCAGTGGATGTGGACCCTCTGCCCTCCACCGCAACCCCTGTGGCGTCCATTCCAATGCCTTGTCCACCAGCAGTGCAACATCCTGGATCCCCTGCCTCAGCAACGCCGCAGTTCACAGCTGGCAATCAAGCTCTGATGCCGCAGTGGCTGCCTGCAGGCACTCCGGGCAGCCAAACCTTCCTTGTCAATCCCTGGGGCTTTCCCAGCAGTGGTGGTGGCCAGCCGGGGCTGCCAGCTGCTTGTTGGCCGCCGGGTGTCTTCCCAGGGGGTGTGGCCGAAGGCGTGCCTGTTGCCGCTGCACAGGCCGCCATGCCCAGCGGGCACACGCCCTACTACATGCCAGGCTTGGCTACGCAGCAGTCCCCGTCTGGCCCTGTGCACTGGACCCCACAGCAGTGCCCACCACTTGCAAGCCCTGTGGTGATGACAGGCATGTGTCAGAAAAATGGGGGAGCGCCAAGCCACGAATCCACCTCACATCAACCGTCCACTTCTCCGGATGACTCAGGTGCTGTTGTTGATGCTGCATGCCAGCAAGGGGCACAAGGCCATGTGTCAGCTTCGCATCAACAGGCCGCCCCTGCTAGTGATTCTGGTCCCATCCGCTGTGCTGCTCGCCAGCGAGGGGAGTCAGGCCTTGCATCAGCTTCGCATCAACTGGCTGCCCCTGTTGATGATTCTGGTGCCATCGGCAGCGATGCACACCGGCATGGAAGGCCAAGCTTGGAGCCGGTGCAGGAGGATTTGGGCGCGAAGAGGGTGCAGGATGCAGCTGAGGCTGGCAGATGGATGCAGGTACCTGTTGGGCAGCGTGGAGGAGAAGCATCGATGGGGCCGAGCGTGGCAGATGTGCAGGTGGCGATGCAGTCAGTGGTGGCGACACATCCACACTTCTGGCAGGTGGGCCTCGATTCTAAGTGCTGAAGAAGTAAATTGTTATTGGTAATGAGTGAAAATGAATGGGTGCAATACTGCTAGGACTCCCCCGGAGTGTCGAATGTCTCTTTCCTCTTTCTCGAGATTGAGCACTCTTTTAGATTCGAACAACATGGGAGTTTTACATTGCCTTGCACACTCTTGCTCAGTGGCACAAGGTCCACGTGTCTTGTGATGCGATGGAGAGACACATGGACGCCGAAATGTGCTGTAATATTTTGGAATGAAAAGGAAAGAACAAGTACAATAACTGCAGTGCTGATGGTTGCAATTGTAGTTCGTATATTGACCACTTGAACTGTTTTTGGTACGACATTTCGTGTACAGACACTCAGCGATGGTTATCCCAGCTGGGACTGGATTCCACTGCCAGGTCCACGGGAAGTTAGTCTTCTATTCTGCCCACTGTTTGGATGCATGCTGTGGTCACCGTGTTCCTGTTCAGTTGTGTGTATTCACTGTGCATGCCTGTTCTCTCAGTGGTGCACGGAATACCAATGGCGTCCATGCATATCGTACACTTCTTGTTCATTGTGCCATTTTGAGGCACGTGTTCGCAGCTCAACTCAAACGGCCGGGCGTTCACCTGTCTTAGGTCAAGAACTTTGCGAAAGCGCAGCTCAGAAAACGCGATTTGATCCATTGAGTCACTGGTATACAATACACATTATACACACTTTTCACATAACACACATTTTCACTCACAAGTGAAGATGTCAATTGCCGATACATGGAGTCCAATTGTGTTTAATTGCTAGTTTGGTTCCGGTGGTTGACGGTGGCTCCGATGTTGAGCAGAAAGTCGCAAAGAAGGTCGGCTGCTCGGCGTCCGAGTGCTTCGACATCTTCTTTGGTGAGATGCCACGCCAAAACTCGCCGAGCAGGCCACGGGGCACTTCCAAGCGGACGGGGCAAGCCACGGGGAGGCCGTTGCTGCCGGACGCGCCGACGCTGCAGCGCCTCGACACCGCAGGTGACGGCAGGGTGTGCCAGGCGGCGCTTTAGTGATCGCTCATGATTGCGTAAATCTTCAGCGTGATGGAACAATCTGGAAGCAAAGGAAACAACGGAGGAGAGTAGAATCACGAACAGAAACAACGAAAGTGATGAGATGAAATAGGTAACAAGAGAACGCTGAATCCTCGTTGCTATTACGTTTGGCAGAAGACGAAGCGAAACCCCTTGCACCAAACTGGCGATGTGGGGCAACGGTCCCAAGCGCATGCTTTGTCTGAACCCAAAGTGTTTGCTTAGGGAGCGCGAACCACAGCCATGGTGTGGGCTTGGGTTTGGGTTTTAGGTTAGGCTAGTTGTAGGGTTTTAGGGTTTAGGTTTGTTGGCTTGGTTAGGTTGTAGGGATGGTGTGAAAAAAACGGGACCCAGGTACCCGCCTGTACCTGCCGATACCCGGCTATGTACCCGTACCTGCCCACCCGGGTAAAAAAATAGACCCTGGCCCGGGTGTCTGGGTAGGCGGGTGTAAGAAAAACAAGTACTCGGGTACCTTGTACCCGGGTACCATTCCTATTGGGTTGGTTTTATTTTTTTGGCGTTTTAGGTTTTTAGGGTTTTTAGGATGTTTAGATTAGATTAGGTTAGATTAGGTTTTAGTTTTTATAGTTTTGTCAGGTTAGGTTTTAGGTGTTTTAGGTATTTTAAGTTTTCCAGGGTTGGGGTATTGACGAAAAGAATGCTGTTTGCAGGTGTGGGACAGGGCAAAGCTGGCAGCAGTCGGCGGCAGGCTAAGGCGGTGAAGAAGTGGCTGCGGGAGTCTCGCTGGACATTGCAGACCAGGGAGCAGCAAACCAGGGCGTACCTACACCCCTCGCCCAGCACCTCCGGGACCCCCATCGCGGAGCGGATTCAGGCTCAGGAGGACACCAACAGGTGCTGAGCCTGGTTCGGGGAGTGGGCTGCAGCATCATACGGAGTAGATAGATGGAAAAATGAATGAGTGAATGAAAAATAAGCTAATGAACAATAAATAAAGGAGGAAATATGTGAGTTAAGTAAGCAAGGAAATAAGGAAGTAAATGAACAAACAAATGAATATAAATGGATGAATATGAAAATAAAAAATAAGCAAATAAATAGACAACTAATAAAAGGATCGCAGTTTGGTTATTGTCGTTACCCCAATGCGCCTCAACGTATGCACTTCTTTCACCATTTAGTTTTATGTTATGTCTTCAGAACTGGTGCTCTGGCCATACGCAGCTCCCAAAAAAAACTCGAGAGCGTACACTTGTGCGCCAGTAGCTGCGCCTGGGGTTGCCCGTTATATGCCCTGGCACCGATTTGTCATGTTCGGACGTGAGTAGCTGTGACGACACTTAGTTCTGTCCATCCAATTGCGCTGGTCGCTCCCCTGGCGAGATGAGCAGAACATGACAAGGAATAGAAAGTAAATTTATGTCGACATGAACAAGAAAATTTGCCGGAAATGAATCCCACACCGGTGTCGCGCCGCCATATTGTTCCATATTTGTCGTTCTCTCTTCCCAGACGTTGAATTTCCTTGCACGCAAAAGAGTCACGCAAACTTTCCAAGGCCTTCTTTTGCGCAATTTCTGACCTTGTCACGGCTGCTTAACTCTGCTCCTGACGTGCTGTTGGCTTGCCAGTGAGAGGCTTGAATGACAATCGCGAGATGCGTCAAACCATGTGGCAATGTGCTGCGCGTTAGAACGGGAACAAATCGCGTGACGTCCGCCTTTTCTTAGCCTCATCCGTGGGAACGGCGCCAATCGCAAGTGTCCCATTGCTTGGTGTTGCGCAACAGGTACATAGACGCCTTCATGCGCCGCCACGGGCGCATAGGCATGGGTACCGTGCCCGGAAACAGGGCCATCTCTGGGCGGGTCGGGCATGGACTTGACCACCAGAAGGCGGCTCAAACCGCCAAGGGGCTGGCAGCGTTGTTCAACCAAAATTGCGACGACGACTCTGACTGGGATAACGGCAGCAGTGGTACGGAATAGGCGTGGGGCTCTTGTATGAGGTTGTCTGGGTTTTTTAGGGTTTGGGCATTGGGGGGAGAGTTGTGGTTCGTGCGCATGCAAGGGGAGGGTCTGGGGGTTGCGTCGGTCAGGCAATGCGTGATTACAGCTGTCTAACAGTGGCGCAACCAGACCAACGCACCTGCAAGGAGATTCAAGGCGCTAAGCCTGCGTGCAGATCCAAAGGTACGGCTTTCACACACGCCGGAGTCCAAATGGTCGTGTGGCGCAGCCAAAGCATGTAATGTATTTACGACCGATTTAGGCAGGCGGTGGGTGGTGCCGGTATGTGCCCTGGCTCTGCATGTGAGCAGCGCTGAAAGCGGCCTTGCCGTGGAATTGAAGCTTCCAAGGACTGGTCGTGTTCGTCATCCATCCCTAGATGCTGTTGCGCCTGAGTGCCCGTCAAATGATCATTGCTCCCTTCTTTTTGCTGACCCCAACTACTTCATCACACTTCAGTCTCCAGACAGCGCCAGTGCAATTCGACGTGAAGCCCCCAAAGGGGCTCGAATCCAAAAGAATGCTCAGTCTCAGAAAAGAGAAGTTCAGCGCTCGTCGTTTCCTGTTGTCCAACCGTAGCGATCCGATCCTCAGGTTCCATCTGAATGGACGATCGACAAAATACGTTTGTGGGTTCAAAAAGTCATCTGACAGCCTGGGTGGCAAAATGCTCTTCCCAGCACCTCGGGGTGAACGCAGTCCCAATGTTGGAACGACGGCGTTGGCTTCTGCCCAGAAAGAGGCCTGGTCCCTGCTGAACATGGGTCTTCATCATCCACAGCATGCTCCAGGCAGGTCTGAATTCTGCAGGGGGCAGTCACACCGTCAAGTGGCATTTGTCTGTCTCGGAGGAAACGAGACACAGCCATGCCGCCGCAAATGCACACGACAGCGCGACAAACAGGCCTGTCCACTTGGGGATCTGTGGGGATTGTCAGACAATCCCAACAAGCGACAGAAGGACGCCCTTCACCGCTCCGTTGAATGGCCACTGCCGCCCAAACAATTTTCAGTTCCTTTTTGCCAGATGTCGCCAAATTGGCTGCCCGAATAACTTGGCGCACTTTCAGCAAAGAGCGGTGCAGTACAAGAAACCACCAATTCTTGTACCATCGTGTCCCAAACAGCTGGTGGGTGCGGCAGCGCATGGCCCGGTAGTTCTGTCGTCCTTCTTTGGACCTAATTGGACCACCCCCGACCCAGCGCCAAGCTGATCATTCGAACGTCTTCGTGACGCATCTGGCACATTGTTGTAGGCGCGCTCCTCCTTGGCATCGTGCGCCTACCACGATGTCGCCTTGGCGAGCAGCGACGGACATTCTACCATGTGCGCAAACGACAGCTTCCCTCAGTACTACCCGCTGGCCTCCACCCGCCGCGGCAGTCGTTGAATCCACCTGAGCACGCAACTTCCTTGGGAAGGGCTCTGACCAAAACCCTTCACTTGAATCACGGCAGTTGGGCCCGTTGTCGGTGGCCGCTCTTTGGTGTTTGAAGTTCGACCAGTTTCACTCTTAGTGTTCAGCGACGGATGGCCAGAATATGCTTAGCAAACGTCGGAGAACAGGCCATTCAGCTCAGTCTGTGCGTCGGCCCCATCTCTAAACATTGCCATCATCCCACCTTCCAACGCGCCCAGCCAAATCCTT